TAAACTACTAAATGAGAGAATATATTTGCAAGTATATATTTGATGAGGGGTTAATATCCAAAATAAGTAAGGAACTGATATAACTCAGTAGCAAACAAATACCAAACAATTCGATAAAAAATTGGGTAGAAGATCTGAATGGACATTTTCCCAAAGAAGATTTACAGATGACCAATGGGTACACAAAAAGGTACTGAACACTGCCTGTTATCAGGAATATGCAAATCAAAACTACAGTGAGATAATGCCTCATACCTGGTAAAATGACTATTATAAAAAAAGACAAGGAAGATGTGGAGGAAGGGGAACACTTGTGTACTGTTAGTGGAAATACAAATTGTTGCAGGCACTATGGAAAACAGTATGAAGTTTTCTCAAAAAAAATAAAAATAGAACTACCATATGATTTAGCAATTCCATCTCTGGGTATTTACTCAAAGGAAACTAAAACTCGAACTCTGAATCCCATGTTCATTGAAGCATTATTTATAATTGCTACGACATGGGAAAAACCTAAGTATCCTCAACAGATGAATGGATACAGATGTGGTATATAAGTAGTGGAGTATTATTCAGCCATAAACAGAAGTAAATGGAGTAATGTTCCACTGAAAAGACATAGGGTGGCTGAATGAATATGCTGCTTATAAGAAACTCACTTCAGATCAAAAGACACACATGGATTGAAAGAAAAGGGATGAAAAAAGATTTTTCATGAAAATGGAAATTTAAAAATACTGGGGCAGCAATACTTATATCAGACAAATAGACTTTAAAACAAAGAAATATCCAGCAATTCCACTTCTGGATATTTATCCAAGAAACCCAAAACACTAATTAAAACAGATACACGCATCTGAATGTTCATTACAGCATTGTTTACAATAGCCAAAGATGTTGAAGTAATCTCAGTGTCCATCAACGGATGAACTGATAAAGAATATATGGTACAGCCCTGGCCGATTTGGCTCAGCGGTTATAGCGTCGGGTCGCAGACCAGAGAGTCCCGGGTTCAGTTTCTGCTAAGGGCATGTACCTCGGTTGCAGTTTGTCCCCGGCACCAGTTAGGGTCATGTGGGTGGCAACCAGTCGATGTGTCTCTCTCACATCGATGTTTCTCTCTCTTTCTTCCCTCCCTCTCTCCCTCCCATTCTGTCTGAAGATAAATGCAAAAATGTCCTCAGGTGAGGATAAAAAAATAAATATATAAATAAATAAATAAAAGCTGCTTTAAAAAAAAAAAAAGAATAAAATCTTGCTATATGTGACAACATGGATGAACCTTGAGGGCATTATGCTAAGTGCATTAAGTCAGAGAAAGACAAATAGCGTATGATCTCACTTATATGTAGATTCTAAACAAATAAAACAACACCAAACTCATGGATATAGGGAACTGATTGGTGGCTGCAAGATCTGGGGGAAGGGATGAGTGAAATGAGTGAAGGTGGTCAAAAGGGACAAATTCCCAGTTACATCATAAATAAATCGTGGATATAATATATAGATGATGACTAATGTTAATAATACTATATTGTATATTTGAAAGTTACTAAGAGAGTAGATCTTAAAAGTTCTCATCACAAGAAAAAAATTTAGCTATATGTGGTGATGAATGTTAATTAGACTTATTGTAGTGATCATTTCATAATATATACAAATTATTGAATCATTATGTTGTACATCTAGAACTAATGTAATGTGATATATCAATTATATCTTTTAAAAAAAGAAAGAGATGGAGACACATTTACAAATGGGAACTTATGTTAACTTTACGAGGAGAAATTTATGCCAGGCCAAAAGTGGGAGCACAGAGTGTTTCTCCTTTGTCTGTTTCTTAACTGTCTTCAGCTCAAAATAATACTTATGCCAAAATGACATATTTTGGGGTAGCATATTCTGACCCTCTTCACCTGAGTTCTGTGAGTCATTCTGGTAGATTATCAAACCTGAGTATAGGACTGTGGGAACCCCATGGCTGAACCAAAGTGTGGTGGCCTGGGCACAGCATTTGGAGTTGGCATCTGAATTGGGGGCATTTTTGTGGGAGGGAGCCCCTTAACTTGTAGCCCCTTAACTCCAGGTAGTTAGAATCAGATATGAATTGTTGGACATCCAGTTGTTGTTGATGAACTGTGGTCAAAGAACCCGCCAACCCATTAAGCTTGACCTGCCCCAAATGGGCTTCATGGTCTTGCACTCCCTCTGTTCCTCCTCTAGTGGTCCTTGCCACAGTGACCTCTACTGCCTCCATCCAACTGCTCATGTCCAAATCCTAAAAGGCACCTCTCTCCCCCTCACCTACCCCTACATTGGTTCATCAGCATGTAATGTTGGTTTTTGCTCTGAAATAGCTCTAAAATCTGTCCACCCCTCCATCGCCACCTCTCTCGACCAAGGCATGATCACCCTTCTTCACTTGAAAGATTGCAACAGTCTCCTAACAGCTTCTTAACACAGTTTCTGTCTCCTACAATCTGATTTTCATCCTGCTTTCAGAATGATCTTTCAAAACTTAAATCTAGTTAATCACACCCATGATTAAAAATCCTTCAAGTGGCTTCTCATTGCTCAAGGCCCTGAGTGGCCCCTTCCTACCCCTCCATTCCGAGCTCTGTCAGCTTCATCCTCTCTGCCCTTGGGCCACAGAGGCCTTCTCCAGTCCTGCTCTTCCACATTGCCTCCCATCCAGGGCTGCATTCGGTCTAAAATGTTCTTCCTTGCAGTCCTAGCTGTTCACTCCCACTCACCTTCCTACAGAGGCTTCCCTGGCCTTCCGACCGGATCAGATCCTGCCTTCTAGCATCTGCCAGAGTGGCTGAGTCTCTATTTGCCTGCCTGACTTTTTGTTTAATGGTGGTCTCCTACAGCACTGTACATTGAGATCCACGAGAGTGAGTACTTTTAACGTTCCACCAGAGGAGAAAAGGACAAGGCTGGGACCAGGGCACTGCATGACCTTGAGAGTAATGCCTCCTTAAAATCCGCTCCTTACATGCCTCATGTCTCTCTAGGCCCTGCCCTGGAGTAGGCAGGTACCCTGATGAGGATTGTAGCCCAGAGAGTCAGCACAACCTCAAACTCTCTTTGAGGTCCCATTTTATCTTTAAAATAGTTTGCAAATTTTGTATTTAACTTCATAACATATTGATGTTTACTTAGATGTAAAAACAATGTTTTCTTTCTCAAATCTTGGAGTTATCCTAGGAAAACATGTCATGTATATCTGGTACTTTTTGTAAGCCCCCAAATTGAGATGCAATCATGGCTTTCCCCACTGGTCAGGGGAGGACCCTCAAGTAGAGATCCTTCCTCATGAATACTACCCCCAGCCCTGGTTTAGTAGACATGGAAGAAATCTTTCCTCTAAATTGCCTGGGTTCAAATCCCACAACAAACTAGTTATAAGACCCAGGCAATGAAAAAAACTTTCCTATACTTTTATGTCCCACATGTAGAGCAGGGATAATGTGACTCCTACTTCACAGGGTCGTTCTGGGAATAAGAGGGGAGCCCTTAGCATAATTAACCACTGGGCCCTCAATCAATATTAGCTATTAATAAGCTCCTTACCATCTCTTTTACCTGCCCCCACACCCAAATGCCTAAAATCCCTAAAGCCCTAGCCCCTTTATGCCAGATCATAAGGTTTAGTTATTTTGCCTGCGTTTAATGACCTGAGTAGGGGGGCTTTGCTTTTTTTAAAATAGTGGATCTATATTTCTAGAATCTCCAATGTTTTATACAAGTAACTGCACACCGTTAACATAGATGTTTTACCCAGTCCCCAAAATTCGGTCTCTAGAGCCCCGCATCAGCATGCCCTTGTTAGAAATACTATGGACACCACTTCAGACTAACCGAATCAGAACTCTAGGGTGGTTTCAGCGATGTTTTCACAACAGCTCCTGCCTTAGATCAAAGTAAAGTTAGCCTTGAAAACAAAAACAACAACAAAAAACACTTTTGCAGTCCTCTCTACCCCCAGGTTCCGCATTCCTTCGGAAGTCCCGCGGACGCTCGCAGAGCTGCAGGACCGCGACCTCCCTGTCCGGAGCGCGTCAGGCCCCCACTCCCTGCGTGCGGGCGCGGTAGGGGCGGTACTCGCGGACTCCCAGCGGCGGGCGGGACAAGGGGAGGGGCGGGACGTGCTCCCGGGCCCCGCGCGAATGGCCTCCGGCAGCTCTCGGCTCGCTGCTCCGTCCGCTTCTCCGCGCGTCCCCGCACCTTCCCCGCCCCAGGCCCACGGCGCGCTGCTTTCGGAAGCGGCAAGAGGCGAGCGCGCCCGGCCGGTTCGGGCTTCGGACTGGGATTGGAGCCCGGGAGCCCTGAGGATTTTGGAAAAAAGGGAGAAGACGAGAGGGAGGCGCCCCACGCTCTCGGCTCGCGCGGCCAGGCTGCCTCCCAGCTTCCCCGCGGGCGAGTGTTCCTCGATTGCTCCCCTGCCCCGCGGGCTTCCTGGGCCAATGCGACAGCCCGCAGGAGCCCGCTCTGCGACCCTCAGAGGGCATATTGGTCAGGACCTGTGGGCTAACTTTACTGGCTGGAGGAAGACTGCTCACACCAGTGTCAACGAAAACTGAGCACGAGTTCATCCAGGAGCTCCGGGGGCAGGACTGCCGCGGGCCGCGCTGGAGTGGGAGGGAGGTGAGGGGAGCCCCCGACTTCCAGAAAGCCACCTCCCACTTTCTGCCGGAGATTTTGGAAACCCCGCCCGCGGCTCTAGCCCCGCGCCTCCTCGCCCCAGGCCCTCCCCTGTCACCGGCAGGTTCAATCCCGAGGAGGCCTGGCCGGCAGCTGGCTCCTAGCCCGCATCCTCCTCCCACTCCGCCCAGGCAGCCGCCGCTAAAACCCCGAGGCTCCCACGTGGAACTGCGTTCTGCGCTGGAGCCCGGGGTGGGCGCTGCACACCGTCAACGACCCAAGGTGCTAAGTCTCCAGAAGAGTCTTGAGCCGGAGGTTCGCAACCCAGATAGGTTCCGAGGTCAGACTGCTTCATGGAGCCCCAGGAGGCGCAGCTGCTAACTTTGGAGGCTACAAAGGGACCCGCGCCCTTTGAAGAACCCTCGCCAGCCCAGGAGCTGCCCGCCGCGGGCGTCTTCTGCATGGAGGGTGGCAGGGACGGCGGCAGCACAGCGGAGCCCGGGACCCCCGACGCCGAGCTCTTGTCCCCGGAGGAGAAGGCTGCCCTCCAGGAGCAGGAGGAGCTAATGGAATATCGCCGCCGCCGCCGTGCGCGTTCCTTCTCGCTGCCCGCCGACCCGATATTACAGGCAGCCAAGTTCCTGCAGCAGCGACAGCAGCTCGCTCTGGGGCTGGGCGCGGAGGGTGGCGAGAGGGCGGAGGACACGCCGCACAGCCCGGGTGGTTGCTGCGCCAAGTGCAAGAAGCGAGTGCAGTTTGCGGACACGCTGGGGCTCAGCCTGGCCAGCATTAAGCACTTCAGCGAGGCCGAGGAGCCGCAGGTGCCGCCAGCGGTGCTCTCCCGCCTCCGCAGCTTCCCCATGAGCGCCGAGGACCTGCAGCAGCTCCCGGGCCTGCTGGCGGCGGCTGCTGTGCCGCTCTCCGCGCCGCCTCCACGCCTCCGTCCTCTCTTCGAGCTTCCCGGGCCTGGCGCCGCGGCCGAGCGCCTGCGGCGGCAACGCGTGTGCCTGGAGCGCGTGCACTGTTCGGTTCCCTGGGGCGCGGAGGTGACAGGTTCCGGCCGGGTTCTGGGCTGCCCCGGGCCGAGGGCCGTGGCCGTGCGCTACACTTTCACTGAGTGGCGCTCCTTCCTGGACGTGCCCGCAGAATTGCAACCTGAACCAGTGGAGCTACAGCGGCAGGAGACGCCGTCGAGGGAACCTGGGAGCGGAGGTGCCGAGGAGGAACAGAGTGCTGAGCGCTTTCACTTCTCTCTGTGCTTGCCCCCGGGTCTGCAGCCCAAGGACGGGGAGGACATCAACGCGCCAGACGTAGCCGTCCACTTCGCAGTCTGCTACCGCTGTGCCCAAGGGGAGTACTGGGACAACAACGCGGGGGCCAACTACACTCTGCGCTACGCGCGGCCCACGGACGCTGTCTGAGCCGTCCGTGGGCCCTCGGCCCCGCGGCGCCCCAGAACGCTTCGAGGGACCGTGGGAAGGGGGCCACGCCGGGTGACTTGCCCCGACGCTTTGCTGAGCGTGGTCCACCTGGAGTGAGGGGAGCGCAGAAGGAAAGGAGGGAGCCGCTCAGTCGTGAAGTCGCACCTAGACATATCCTGTGAGCAAGCGTGGTGAGCCCTGGCAAAGCACCTAACTTCCCGGCCCGTTTTGTCGTCGCTCAGGCCTTCCTAGCGGCCTCTTGAATTCTACCCCAGGGTCAGAATGGAAAAAAATCCGCAAGACTCTGACTAGCAGTTTTCTCTAAGAAAAAGGCTCCTGACTACTGTATGAGGCTGTAAGACCTCGGATGTGTTTTTAACTGTATACATCGTGTTTTAGCCTTTGCAACTTGCTGGAGACCCCTCAGGTCTCAGGGAAAGGAGGAAGCATCCCACCATATTGCCCCTAAGAAAGGCGCTGGACTGTGGGTGCCTTCCGGGTGTGGGGTGGCGTTGGGGGCGTTTCTCAGAGGAAAGTGGGTGGGACCTTGGCCTGCTGTCCTTTTCTCTTAACCGGACTCTGGGAGGTGTTTGCCCAGACTTGACCGTATTTACTTGTGCCTTTGTACAAATGCCCTTTTAAAAGTAAAGGCCACTTGCACACCCTTTTACGCTGCACTTTATATTTCAGCTCCTGGGGGTTTGGGAGGTCTTGGCAGACAGGTGAGCCGGTAATTCTAAATTTCTTCCATCCCTCCTGTCTGCTATAAAGGCCCACATTTCACATAGTGGGCCAAAAAGGTTCTTTAAAATGTTTTGTGACCACCAAAATAAGTTGGTGAATTGAAGCACCAGAGTAGTAATCTGGTAGGCCTTGGCTGTGAGCCCTGGGAGCTAGCCGCGGGTTCCCAACCTCCTTCGAGGAGGCAGAGCGCATATCAGCTGCTAGAGTCCTCTGGGCCAGTAGAGTCAGGGAAGCTGGACTCCAAGCACAGTAGGTGGTGGATGAAAAGGTGGCATCCTGTCCCACTCTGAGCCACAGTGGATAGTGGTGACTTGATGGATGATGAAACATGCTCAGCAAGTAAATGCTGCTCAGAACAAGATGGGTGCCCTACACACGGCAGGACTGCCTACACGGGGTCTGCCACCCATGGTGGATGCCCAGATTAGGTGGCTATGCATGAGCAGGGCAGGTTGGCATTCTGGATGAGGACTTGGTTCCTTCACACCTTGGTCATGCCTTGGTAATTTGTCTTTCTTCAATTTTCTTATTTTCCTGCACATGACTAGTACAATGAGTTGTTTTGTAATGATAATCTTTAAGGAGGTAGGGTTGGTTTCACTACTGAATAAGGGTAGGCATATTCAGCCCTTGGGCCAAATTCAGCCTGAAACCTGTTTTTGTAGGGCGTGAGAACTAAAAATAATTTTTACATTTGTCAACATTTGGAAAAATTCAAAAGAATACTCTTTTGCGACACATGAGAATTATATGAGATTCATATTTCATTGTCCATAAAAAAAGTTTTATTGGAACACAGCCATGGGTGTTCATTTACATGTATCTGTGATTGCTTTTCTGCTACAGGTGCAAAGGTGAGTAGATGCAAGAGAGACTATATGGAAAAGTCTAACATATTTATTATCTGGACATTTATAGAAAGTTTGCCACTCCGTGCTCTAGAGAAGCAGTATTTTCTAAACATTATATGCTGAAAGTTATACCTAATAAAGCAGTTAAGCTTTTTTTTTTTTTTTTTATCCTCACCCGAGGACATTTTTCCATTTTTTGTACAGATAGAGTGGGAGGGAGAGAGAGGAAGAGACAGAGAGAGAGAAACATCGACGTGAAGGGACACATCGAGTGGCTGCCACCGCACGACCAACCAGGGCCAGGGACAAACTGCAACCGAAGTACGTGCCCTTAGCGGGAACCGAACCCGGGCCTCTCCAGACCGCAGGCCGACGCTCTAACCGCTGAGCCAAACTGGCCAGGGCGTAAAGCAGTTAAGCTTTTAGTAAAATTTGTTACTTGAAATATACCTCCTTTGGATAAAGGTAGAACTGTTTACAGTACTCTTAGTAATCTTGATTTAGAATAAACACTGTGACACCAATATACAATTATTACTGTACTGGGGAGGAGGATCGACCTCTTGCCTTCTTTTGTCTGTTAAGCTAAAAATAAAAAGGCCTTTGGAAATGAATGGCCATAAGCATTTATTTGAGGTCAAAGAATATCTATTTGGGATGTACTGGTTCAGGCAAAAGCCCAAGTACTGTTCCAGTTAGGAGACAAAGGCAAGGAGAAAGGGAAGGGGAACAATTACATCGGTAGAAGAAAAGCATTTCCATTGGTACAGGTAACACAGCATAGGGATGCTAATATTGAACAATGTTTTTAATTTTCAGTCTATTAGTTATAATAACTGCTTTCTTGTTATCTTTGCAAAGAGTTCTTTGGGGCACAATGTTGCTTTAGGCCCGGTCCAAAGGTTATTTTGCCCTGTTTTAATATTTCACAGGTTTGAGGTATAATACATAAAAGTAGTTTCTCTGGCATGGCAGCTTTGGCTCCATTATAAAGTGGCTCCATTTATTACTTTTTGACACATCTAAGAAATAATAAATCAATGCACCTGAAATGTAGCACCCATTTGAATTAACATCAAACTACAAAAACTGCCACATGTTTTTGTGCCTGAAATGGATGTCTTAAGCTATAGAAATATTTAATTTAAACTCTGATTTAGAGACATCCCTTTTGACTGTACAGTGTTTGTTAAAGTAATTGATCTTGGAAAAAATTTTAGGTAGTAATTTACTAGTGGAAAGCCACCAGAAGTTAATGAACTATAATTTACACTTGGAGTAAAGCAGATTAAAAAATGGTCACAAAGATGAAATAATGAAAAATAATAAAAACTCTAAAACAATTAAAATAAGCGATTATTAGAATTACCTAAGTTTTTGTAAAAATATACAAAAGTAGTTGTCTTTTCATGCAAAGTTTAGTATTGAATCTGGTATACCATTTCTTTTTGAATAGGGCTTTATTGTATAAAATAACAGCACCTAGATACATTTTATATTTTTCTTATGTGTTTATGAATACATTAAGTTGAAAAGTACATATTTAATACTATTATACATTTAATATATATATATATATGTATATATAGAGATATATAGATATATATTGCCTATAACTCAGATTGAAATGCTGGTTTATATGGTAATCATTATTTTGGGTTATTTAAAATTAAGTTAAGATAAAATTAGGATCTTAATATAATGATCAAAATAAAGATCCTCTTGTCTGGTCCACTCTTTATTATTTTGTTGTTGTTGTTGTTAATCCTCATCTAAAGATATTTTTTCTTTTTTTTTTAGAGAGAGAATGAAAGGGAGGGAGAGAGGAAGAGAAACAGCGATTGGTTGCCTTCCACATAACCTGGATTCAGGCAGGGGATCAAACCTGCAACCCAAGTAAGTGCCCTTGAATGGAATTGAACCTGCGACCCTTTGGTCTGAGAGCTGATCCTCTAACCGCTAGCCAAACTGATCAGGGCTTGTCTGGTATTCTTTAAAATGGTAACTCATTAAATCTAGACTAAAATAGATTCTATGGGGTTTTAAAAGATATATACAGCAACTTCCCTATTCTCATAAAGAACTATTGATTTTCAAAAGTATGTTTTGAAATTTAAACCATTAATTTAAAAAGTACTTATTTCATAATGTAACGAATGCCAAATATGGCTGTTAAGAAAGGAAATCTAGCTTTGCTCTCCCCCAAATCTTTGAGAACAACTTCTTTAAGGTTCAGAATTGTGTGAAATATTTTGAACACCGTCTTTCTGCACATGGTCGTAGCCTTTCAAAGCACTAGAATTGGTAATGTTCTAAATGTCAGTTTATTTTACAAAGTGCCAACTTTTCAGTACAGACCGATAGCGAACATTTTGTAAAGAAATGTGAGGAGGTTAAAATAGGCTTTATTTGTTTTTGAAAAGTTAGTTTTAAAGGAAGGATCAGTATTGACAAGATTAAGGAAATGTTTAAGAATTTATTTTCTGAATGGAATGAAAACACATACTCATCCCCAAAGTAAAATTCCTACAATAAGGGGAATTACTGTTTTTTTTTTTTTTTCATTTTTGCAGTCATATTTACCTCAACTTGCATAAAGGAGGGTTGTTCTGCTTTAAAATATAGTAAACATTTTGCCCTGCTCTCAGTGTTGATAAACCGAGTTCTCAGCTCATGTAGTTACCCTAACCTCCACCAGAGAGATTCCAGTGTCTTCCTCGTGGGCGGCTGGGTCCATGGATCACTGAGTCCCGGGATGTTAAATGAAATGTGTGCCCCTATTGAAAGAGTTTCTGCAGCAGTGGCTGGCAATGTGGCGGTCTGTGTGATACCGACAGTTAACAGTAAGCATGTTTAGGTATTAGATCCTAGAGCCCAGAGATTAAGTGTAGGGTTTCAATTGCTGTGGCTGTCACATAGTTTAGAGTCAAAGATTAAGGAAATAAGATAGATTCTGAAGGCCTGCCTGTAAAGCAGGTTCCAGGAGAAATGGCACTTGGCTGTATATAATAGAAAAATGTAGCTCTTTAAACTCAAAACAATGATAAGCTTAAATGATAACAGTGGTCACAAGATGTTTAGTTTCTGCCTTTTGCTTCTAAGATAATGTCACTAATGTACAATCACGAGATATTTTGCCAAATGTTGGCTCTTTCACCCAGATAGATCACCTGACCAGTGTGAGGAAGGCACCAGACAGGATGACGTCAGGAACTGAACCAATCAGACTAAGGCTTACACAAGAACTAACCAGTCAGCTTCACCTTCGACCCCTAACCCCTAACCTCCAACCTCTGCCTTTAAAAACCCTTGATTAAAAACTGTGCGGGAGTTTGGATTTTGAGTGCCAGCTCCCTGGTCTCCTGGCTTGGCAGCCTGCCAATAAACTGCTTGACTTTTGCCGCT